CCAGCCAAATCGAACAGGTCTAACAAGGTCATATAGCTTGGGGGACAAAAACTTACCAGGAAGGGTTCAAGGCCGAAGTGGTCAATTGCAATAAGCTGTACTTTTCCCGATGCATTTTCGGGCACTGATCTGCTTACCGAAGCTGTGGGACGACCCTTTCTCTTTCGGATCTGTGAAGAACTTCCAACGTAAAGCGTATGAAATCAGTCAAGATCATGCCCAGCACGTACAACAGCGCTCTTCGCAAGCCTTCCTAGAGGTACGAATGGGCGAGCACTGTTCTAGCGAACTTACAATTTTTCTGATGCGCGCTCTCTGTGAAAAGCTAGAAGTTTTGTTCAGCAAGGTTCCAAACCCAAGACCTACTGTCAGAGAAATGAGGAAAGTTCCTTGAGTCTATTCAGAAAGTAAACAAGTCTCGGGCTGAATAATGGGCTCAAAACCAAATCTAGCATCGTTATTGTAGGAATTGGAACATGGACAATCCCTATCTAATCTGTAAAGCTGGTGAGGGCGGGGCATTCTGGGAAATCCTGTATATTTCAGTATTTCAAAAACAAAATCATACAAGCTTCATTCCTGAAGCAATTCTTGCACAAACTGGTTACCCATCTCCTAACTTCCTCCTTTAGATTTAAGCAGTCCTCATGATCACCAGCTCTAACAATTGGGTCCTTCGTACATACGTGCACCAAACGCCTTGTCTATTATGAGACAAAAGCAAGAACGGGGGGCGTCCAGATTTGCCCCTTACCATTCTGTACATAGCTTCTTAGCATGTCCCTACAAAATAACCTCACATCCTTCACAGGGATTCCCCAGCCCAGCCACACACCACAAAAAGCAGCAAATGAAGCATTGCGAAAACATAGTAGTCCGGAAAAAAAAGTATCAAGAAAGACTGCAACTAACCATATGAGGGAATCTTATACTTCACATCGAGGTTTCCTCCAAGTTTTCCAGAGCCCAGATTATGCGCAGCAGATGTTTTGAACTCTACTTCCTTATTTTCACCAGCTTTAGTAGTGGTATCGACTTTGACGAAGCCGTGATCTGCAAATAGTTACCTTTGACGAAGAATTTGTATGAAAAGACTCTTTAAAACGCACTGTATCCTTTGTTGAACAGATCCTTCGCGGATTTCCCCAAATCAGCAAATGTGGGAGGGGCCATTCTGCAACAAAATTCTCATTAAGGAAGTATTACATCAGAAATATAACGACGTTTGCGGATACAAAGAACAACGAATATATAGCAGTGAAGTTGAACAACACCTGCAAGTTCATTTAGGCAGAAATTAATAAAACGTGGAAGCGCCACCACTGATCAGTATCAGAATGAAACTTTCTCCACCATGAAACACACTCGTCACAAATGGAAAACAACTTCGAATAACAACCCAGCATTGATAAGATAGCAGTATCCGGAGGGTGCAACACAACATTCTCGAACAGAAAGTACAGCTAGATGTTAAATCAAAGAGCGAAATTCACTCAGCGATTGATTGATTCTACGGCACCCCCCCGCCCCCCCCCCCCCCCCCCCCCCCCCCCCCCCCCCCCCCCCCCCCCCCCTCAATCTGCGAATGATTATTCTACAATGTTCGAGCTCCCTATGAAATTTGGGACAAATTCTCACCATAAGGATGCTATGGCACAAAGTAATGTGAACACCAATAGGATGCATTGCGTCCATAGAGCATACTAGCGTTTTGAACAACTGGTAAAGTATGGTTACAGGACTTCTGTCGACCGGGCATGCTCTCGCTCCTAATTTCTCATCGTATATTAGCTGAGCAGTTGAATGAAAGAAAAGGAAGAGAGGTCAGGAAGGCGGAAAAGGAAGTAAGGAGGAAAGAAAAAGGAAGTAATAAGCTTCGTGGCTGAAAAGTATGTTGGAACGGGGAGGGAGGCGAGTGCTTGGCGCGATCACATTGTTATTGACGTGTAATGACAACAACGGCACGTTCCACAAAGTTGAACAACCCCTCAAAATCACTAATGTGCAAGGTTTTCGTAATCGACAGACCAGTTTAGTCGTAAATGTTGCCGACGATGATTTTACTTCTTATCCAAGGCATCTCCCACTGACCAGTCGAGGAAAAAAAGTTGTGGTTCAGACTTTGGATCAAAAAACTTGGTTTTGTGTACGAAGTACACTCGGATGAAGACGCCGTTTTGGTCCGACGTGTTTTGACACGTTTTCGGCACGTGATCGCGTCAAACGACATACACCCAAACGGGGAATGTACAGATGACGACAGTGTTCTGAACTTACGCCAGCGTTTTCAGGGAGTAACCGCCCGCGCAAAATTCAAAACTGCCTGGGAAACGCCAAAACGCCCGTGTACGCTTAAGACGCCCATTACGCCGCTTAAGATGCCTATGCTTTCCGCTCAAAGCACCGCCATAGGAAGGATATGATACACTGCCACTTGCCTGCTTCAACAACTGGTGTAGAACGAGTTTGGCACAGCGCCAAACGCAGCAGCACTGTACGCCCAACCGTCCGCAGCGAACTACGCTATACACTATAAGTTCGGTAAATTCACAGACACGATTCGAAACCAACTGTAGTTTTACCAAGTCAAGTTATTTTAGATCAGAGCCGGTACAAGTCACGTTTACACCCTGTGAGTGCAGGGAGTACCACCGATTGGGAGGTCATATACGCGAACGAAACTGTAAGTATCGCTTCGAAAAATCTGCGAAGTTAAATTCTACTGGTTCGCAAGACAATCGGCCCTAACACCGAAGGCGATTTCGACACCTGGGTCGGATGTCGTCGTGTGTCGTTGAATCGTAGAGCGAAGGAAATTATGTTTGCCAACTAATACACAGATACTTATACTAATCTACTCGGGACGAGTAGCGTTTGGAAGGAGAAATACATTCGAGTCTCTTCACCCAGGAGTATTTACAACACAGTCGTATTAAAAAATTTTGTCCAGAGTGCCGTGAGCGTTAGGAAAGGCCGTCCTACACTTCGACAAGCATGCTCTTTTTTGAAATGCATGGCCTCCTGATATTACAATTGTATTGGAGCTAAAAAAGCATAGAAACGCAACTGCAATACTGTCGGTCCCCTCGGAGAAGAACAAAACACTTGTGTGAACATCATAAAGATGAAGACACTATATCAAATCAAATCAGATTTCAACCACTTCTATGAATTCCTTATGACCCTTGTGGTCATTATCCTGTGAATTCTTCTCTAGGGTGTTGCTATAGCCGTAACCAAAATGATACAACGAATTCATTCGGCGATGTTTCGGCATTATCGCCATCGTCAGAGCTTGGAAAAAAGATTAGTGTGAGGTGCCTCCTAATCACATTCCAAACTTCAAATCAGCTCATTATAGACCAGAGACGTCCAGGAACTTTTAGATCACAATCACAATATGAATTACCTTAAATGCACGGCAGCTTCTGGAGCCCTCTGGTCTAGGACAAACTGATTTTAAGTTCAAAGTGGTATTCCAGGGGGGGGGGGCTCACACTAATCATTGACTTTTTAAAGCTCTGACGAAAACGATAACCTCGACACGTTAGCAGAATGAAAACGTTATATCATCTTCGTTACGGCAATAGCAGCACGCCAGAAAAAAGCATTACAATTGCAACGAGCTTCCGAGAGTTTGCCGCAGAATAGCAATCACGCTGTTTTTCTCTCAACGATCAATGTTCAACGATCCGAACATTCCATTAGCATCATTTTAGTTCGTTGGAACGATAAAACGTTTACATATTAAACATGCCGGTATAAATGAGCTCGAGTGCAGAAGCAGTATTCTTCGCTGAGAGTGTCCAAATTCGTCACATATTCTGGTCAAGCATTCGAACGGAGGAGATTAAGGAAGAGGGAAGAGAGGAAGAGAAGAAGAAAGGATGAAGAAAAAAGGAGTGGAGAGAAGGCTACAAGGTCGACTGACATCCTGAGACGCCATAAGGTATTCGGGCAATGGGGACTACGTAATTGCTTCCGACATTTGCCCAAATAAAAAGAGGAAACAGTCATTACTTGAAGAAAAAAAAAACGTCAGAAACTCAGATTGTTCGTTTCATCCTAGTGAAAGTTCCCTGGCTTGCTTCCTCAGTGTTCGTAAAACGATCAAGAAACAGCGAGGTAAATACGGAGCAATACGGACAGAGAAGCATGGAAAAAAACACGAAAGTGAGAGAAGAACAACTATTTCTAGTAGCGAGGGTATAAGACGCCAAACTGGTTTGTAATAGGTGCATACCATGGAATGAAGCATTTAGGAGAGTCATAGGACTTCAAGATGTACAAGCAAGACTATTTCCGTAGTCTAGTAAACCATACCTATGACATTTTACGACGATTAAAAGTATTTATGACGCGATGTTCACGGTGCTGTAATGCCTCTTAGCAATAATGAGCAAGAGAAGTCGTGTAATGGCGATGTTGTCCTAGATCAATGATCACATGTGACAACGCTGCTTTCGCTCTCAACTCATCCGCACAGCAAAAATAACTTTTTTAAAATTTTTCCGTCGTTCTACACCCAACAAAATCGACGAAATTTTCCAGAACAACTAGCCCAGTCCTTTGTATTAGGTCAGAAATAACGCAATTATTCTACCATGAAGAACAAACACAGTAGATTGAATGAAATATGCCCCATTACTATCTATAGTCTTTTGCCGGCATTCAAGTAAGGTGCAGATGCCTTTACTTCAGAACGCGATGGCTGGGCCGCTAATGCCTCTCGTTCTTTTTCGATGTCATCACGCGTTTTGAAATTTCCGAAACCCAAAAACCCAGAGCGCAGAAGGTCTAAGACAGTTTCAAGTCGGTGGGTGGGAGATCTGGAGAGTAAGGAGGGTAGGAGACGATAGTTTATCCGTACATCGTCAGCTCACTCGTCGATGTTTTTGCAGTGTGTGGCCTGGTGTTGTAGTGCTGAGAGTAAACAATAATCTGCTGCTCACGAACAGATTCAAGATGGATGTTCAGCTTTCGTAGCTGAGTGTTGGCCATGACTGTCATTCCTTAATCCAGTACCTCCCGGTGCTCCACGCCGAGAACGCTCTACCATATGCACAGCATCACCTTATCCCGTGAAGGTTGCCTTGTCAACCTATGGCCACGGCGATACTTATAAAAATAGAGTATCCACTTCTCATCCCTACTGACGAAACTGTCAAGCCACTGCCTGAGAATGAGATGAGTGAGGGCCATGTCGTGTTGCGTCAGTGCCTGAGGTACTCACTGAAATTTCGCACCTAAGCGAACGACTTCAATCCATGAAGAACGGTTGTGTGGGGAATCACCAAGACTGCTTGACAGTTGAGTAGTTTGATATGGATCCTCCTGGGAGACGGGCAACAGAATCGTAGTTTGCCGCTCCGCCGCGCGCGGCGTTTTTTTAACTGGTACTAGCTGTCGACTGGAGCACCAGATTTCTTGTGCACTTAGGAACTAGAACATTTATGGCTACCTTCGGTTCTACAATGCCTACTGACGCCATCTACGCCCTCTAATTATCATATGTGGCCGCGACGTCGCACGCGAGTCCCGTCAGCGCGTCCAATTACGATTCTCTTATCACATACCCCCATCCTTCTTCACACGATTGCGCGGCAATTCCCGTGTCACTGAGCGCCCAAGCTCTCTTAATATTCGATGGAGAAGTAGCCCTCGTTGAGCTCGCTGAACTAATGGTAGGTAGCCAGCCATTCAACGTAGCCCTTCTGAACCACCAGCAGATGCAGATAGGATTTGTTAGGGTTGATGCCAGACAGGTGTAGGAATATTATGACGTGGCGAAACTGGTGTTCAGATGGCACGGACTGCAAGAATAAGTTCGGTGCGGCGTTATAGCCCAATTCCCCCACACCACTGATTGTCTACTCACTTGCCTCCATGCAAATAGGCTAAAAACCGAGATCACCACACAGTCACAAATGCGTCAATACTTTTCTCCAATCTAATAGAACAATGCCCCCTCCCAGTGCGTTAAAAGGATTTGAATCAGACAAAGACCCTGAACAAGGATTCGGATTCTTGTCTTTGTCCGTACTCTTATTCAACCTTGCCAAAAGCTAGACTTGAAAAAATGGATCAGAGTTGAAGCAGTGTATTAAATGGTGCGGAACAAACATTACGGTTCGCTTCTATTCACTTCCGGTTAAGATAAACGGTAATATATT